TGATTTGGTATTAGCATCTAATTACTAATTACACATTAGTAAGTGAGTCCTGGATGCAAGATGCTCAGAGTTTTTGAAAATCTGGCTTATTTACTACTAATTTGTCTGACCCTGGATTAGGTGCTTCATGTACTCGTTTCCGCTAATTTTTTTTGTCCCAGAGTACCACAAAAGAAAGAGTCAGTCACTGGATCCGCATCTGAGGGAAGAAAAAGACTCTTGCTCAAAATTTTTCCCTCCAAGGTAACTTAGTCCACTGTCCTGTTTATAGTGAAAGAAAACATGAAACAGAAAGGAAAACCCCTTCACTCTGAGGAAACAGGCCGCACATGGCTCTGCCAGCTGAAGGCTTGTGATACACAGTGGCTATGGAAATTTATGAAAGTAAAAAATATCCAGCATTCTTAAAGCACTAGCAGTTTGCTGGGGTTTATAATTCAACGCAGTTATTAAAGCTACCAGTAGAAGCTGAGAGGAACTTCAGAGAGGGCTACACAGGTTAGGTGAATAGGTGAAATTCAGTAACAACAAACACAAAGTAATGTGCCTTACAGGGAAAAATTTATAGGCAAGAGCCCTGCCCTAAAATGTTCCTAATTTATAGTTTCAGTTCTGAAAGAGACTGATATGTCACTGTAGCCAACCCAGTGTAGACCTCTCTCTGTTAATAAGCAGATACTGTTAAGAAAAGGAAACAAGATGTTGAAGTCCCTAAGGACTGGAAGAAGGGATAACAACAAAAATACTTTAGCGCCTCTATAGAACTCAGTGGTGTGGATTCATCTGGAATTTTATGTGCTGTTACTGAGCATTCCACCTTTAAACAGGCAGAATTATTTCCAAATAAGTTCAGAAAAACACAGTAAGAATAAAGAAAAAGAGAGACTGAAATGCCTCCCTTCTACGGAAAACGGGTGAGAATGCGTAAAATAATGAAGGCCCCAAAGCCTGGGAACTTGTTTGCCCTGACTCATAATGCGAGAACCTCCAGTTGAAATAAAAGGTGAGAAATGGAAATCAAACAAAATATTTTTCCATCCAACCTGCAAATAAACTGTGACCTGTGTTAGCACAAGGAGCCACAGAGAGAAGAGCTGAGCAAGATCTAGGCACTTCTACAGCTGTCAGGAGTATCTGGAATGCTGCTAGTTAATGGTAACACCCTCTGGGAGAAACATTAAGCTTCATGCTTCTGGAGTTAAGCCAGTCTCTAGCACAGTCTCACAATTCACGGGCGACTTCACATTGGCTATTGCCAGCTTCATACCCTTCCCCTGATTCATGTGGAACTGACAAAAAACAGGATATGCTGCTAGACAGATCACTGCTGTACTCAAGCAATTCCTATGATCCCAGCAATCAGCAGCAACCTGGCAATATTGCCCTTCCCACATTCCTTGGTATTATTGGCATTACACTGACCTCTGGTGGTTGCCAGGAAAAACATGTAACGGAATGAGGCAGCCAAAAGGTAAGGAATCACACACCCTGCAACTTCTGTGGGAGCTCTGTTCAGTGAAGGCATGCAGAAAGTCTTGGCCTTGAAAGTGCTCCAAATCACTCAGGACAACAGGCCAGGAGCAATACTGTACTGATGACTCACAGCTCACAAAGCACTCTAAAGATACTTCAGCTTTTACTCACAGTGCTTCCATGAGATATATACTCTCCTTATCCGCTTGTGTTGCAGTTTCCTATAACATCACTGTCGTATCTGTGTACATATCAGCCCCTTTTTCCATATGAGGAAAAGGAAGCAAAGAACAGCTGGATCTGCAAGCTTTCTCTGCAACACACACCCCAAACCGGACACCGAAGACCTAGACTAAAGCACGTATGTTAAACTGCAACCCTTATTGGCTCTGCTAATGTTACACTTACCCATTTTTGTTTCTTTTGCGTTACTTTATGTCATTTTATGTTATTTTATTCTATTGCACACTTTAATCGTGCCCAAAGCCAAAACACCTGGGAGTTTTTGGTCCTGCTAGTCTCAGTGGCCTGTTTTGCAGCTTGTTCCCACAAATACTTGCACTGGCACAACTGATGGAGCAGTAAACTAAGGTTTGGGAGCAGGAACAAGTGGTCATGAGCCAGGAAGGGCAGGAACTGGTTTTCCTGCTCAAGAAAACACAACAGGGAATTGTATCCTTGCAGGTTAGTGTTGGAATTCACTCAGGAAAACTAAGGACACACCCGGAATGGGTGGAACAAAACAAGACATTTATTACAGACTTCAAATTGTGACTGCTCATTAGTGCCCCAGGAAATCAATGACTACAGGGCTGAAGAGCAAGAACGGTTTCTACAGCACTTTCCTTGAAGAGTGAGAATGAAGGTTGAATTGGGCCAGATGATATACTTCATTCTCCTTTGCACGCAGTGGTACATTGATAAAACTCTAATGCAATTTGACATGACTTTATCTCTCTGTGGGGAAAAAAAAATGTCTTCATTTGAGGAGGTTAGTTGCCAGCTGTTGAACTATACTTTAATAAAATTAAGTAAGGGTGGACAGAGAGAGCATTACCACTGTGCAGTGCTTTCTAGAACTGAAGTCAATGCTATAAAGGCCTAAATAAGCTCTTTCCGCGCTAGCTCATCAGAAATACTCTCAGGTCTGACAGAGAACTCACTGCATGCTTGCAGGTCAGTGGCTCAGCTCAAATTCCCCAGAAGAGGCCATTTAAGCTAGAACAGGGCTTTGTATCAGAGCAGCTAATTCACTTATGCAAACTATGCAACATGTGCAGTAATCCGTGGCAGAACAATGAGACAGACTGCTGGGACAGCCATATCTTAGCCTGCTACACCAAGAGTCATCAGCACCTTCTGTCAAAGCCCCTTAATACTTAAAGTGGCAGCTAGGTGTCTGCTTCCACCTCCAGAGGATATATTCAGTCACTAGATAACTGAGAATTATTGTTAATTATGTCCTCGAGCAAGCATGTCCTGGCTTCAGAGGGATAGTTGTAACAAAGAAAATGCTCATGGATTCAGAAACTACAAATCCAGGTTCACTGTGATCATCTACGCGGACCTTCTGTATAACAGAGGCCCTGAAGTCATTTATTTTTCAGTTACATCACCACTTTCAGAAAAATCCTGTCTCTCATTGGATTAAATCAATCAGACTGATTTTTAAAAACCTAGCAATGCAGGGTCTCCTACAGTCCTTTGTAAATTGTTCCACCGATTATTTATTCTTGCTGTCAGCAAGTTGTTCGGTGCGGAGAAGAACTAGGAAAACCAGGATAGCACCTGTGACCTATGTCCCTAACCCATGTCTGTCATATGAAAAATCTCTCTGGTCCCCTCTTCTCTAATGGTATCTGATTGTTCTAGTAACAACTTCTGGGCACAACTGAAATGACCTAGTTTTCATATAATCAGTTAGTGTTTTATAACTAAAAAATGCTTTCTCAAGATGTGTGCCTATCTGAGCTCTTCTGTATCCCGAGGTACAAATAACAAAGGGCACGCACATTAAAGGTTTTTTCTTTGCTATACTGTTAGCTTATGTTATTGAAATCTGGACTAGCTTAACTTGAGTCAACCTCTGTCCAGGCAGCTGTCCTCAAGCTGCAAAGCAACACCTGCCTGAATGAGCAGAACACAGTAACAGGCTTCCACTGCTTTACTAGTGTGACTGTCAGCAACGATCTGATCTGTGTCCTCTGCAAGACCAACTGCTTTTGTGTTTTCAGCATCATTTTACTAAAGTGCTGACCTTTATGAGTGCATAAGAGCTATAGTTGAGGCAATATTTGAGTAATACTTCAATAAAGACAATTTTCTTCCTGGGGAAAACAGCACTTGGATAAAACAAAGCCAGTGAAGGTAAGCATGATAACACTTGTGAATTTGCTTAAAATTAATGTTAACAGTATTGATTAGTCTCACTATGAAGTTAAACAGAGCACTAATATGCCCTGTCTACATTAGGGGTATGCTCAACATGACAAAAGAATAAACTTCCACCGTGCAGACTGCAGACTGAGCCTAACTTACCAGAGAAAGAATCCTGCACTGTGAGAAATCTGTACACTTCTCTAAGCCAGAAGCTGCCAGTGCTGACATTGCCTGCCCTGAACTTTTTTTTTTTTTTCGCTTTTATCTTTTCTTCCCAGCTGTCAGGGCTGCCATGAATCACACTCAGGCGTTTGGCAGCCCTTTTATGACCTCCTGTAACTTAGCTGAGTTGTCACACGTCAGGCTGCGCTGCAGAAATGACTTGCAATTGTGGCTTTTGGACACCAAACATAACCACTCTCTGCTAATTCCAAGCAGGGAAGGAGCAGCTAGAAGAAGCAAGCAGGCCGCAATGGCTATATGCAGAGAGCAAGAAAGACAGATGACAAAAAAGCAGTGCAGGTCTAAGGTTTCTCTACAACTGTTACCAGTTCCCGCTCTGGAGCTCACTCTTTTTTCTCTACACTGTCTCAACTTATCCTCCAGGTGTACACAACCCCCCCCCCCCAACACACAGTCTTTTGTACATTATATGCACACCTGCCACTTACAAGATCAGCAAATCCGGAGACTGTGCCGTCATGCCTGAGCCTCTATCAGTGTTCGGACATTAAATCTCCAGGGCTATTGCACACCTCCTCGCTCACTGGAACGGAGGATACTTTGCACGCATACAGGGCAGAGCTCTCCTCGGGGCTCACAGACCAGTGCTCCAGGCAGAGGAATTCACAGGGTCAGGATGCCCACATGTAGTAGTCTCTGTATGAACTTTATTGCCTTTCAGAGGAGAGCTTCTGCTAAAAGGCCGACCTAGCGTGTTCAGGAGGGAGCCCTAACCTCGGCTGAGAGCAAGGACCACCTCTAGCCATGTGAGTCCTCCAGAGCCTGCTGCCGTGGAGGATCATGTGTCCGCAGTGGGAGAGTTTATTTCACAGTGTGAGCTTTAGGCATAAAACACTCCTTATGCGTCGATATAACTACGCTATCAGGGCGCAGGCTTGAACTAGCCATACTGGTAAAACCCCTACCGTGCGCTCGGCTCGCTGGCGTAAAGATGCCGTGAGTACATTAGTGCCGCTCCCACAGAAGAACAGTTACACTGGGGAATTTTCCACCGCAGCTACTTAAATCAACACAAAACCCCGAGGCAGAGGGCCCGCAGCAGCCCGCACCCGCGGGGCAGA